GCCCTCGTTCGGGTCGTAGAAGCGCGAAATGAGCTGCTGTACTGAAGTCTTGCCACTCCCACTTGAGCCGCTATCACACAGTCATCAGCTATACCACCTCTACTAATGCCAAATTTCCCTCCACCCACTCCCCTCGACAACAAAGAGATCGTCACGTACACAAGCGCAACGCTCGTTCCCGGCTCGATGGCAAAGTTCACCCCCTTGAGCACCTCGACCTCCTTCCGACTGGGGTAGGTGAATCGCACGTTCTCGAACCGTATCGGACCATTGCGGCTCGCGGAGACGGCGTGGCCCACACCAATGGGGATCGCTGATTGGCGGTCAAGCAGCCAGAAGACGCGTCCGCCAGCGCCGACTCCTACAACGAGGATAAGCGGGTTTCAATGTAATCCCAAGGGGGAGAGATCGCGCACCTTTCATCAAGCCGGTGAAGAATCCAGTGAGACCGGAGACGGAGCCGCCGACGTAGCTGCGGGTGTGTCAACACAAATCACCGCTGGGAGGAGGGGGTGGCCCAAAGGCAGAGGAAGCTTTGATCGATAAAGGGTGGAGAAGCAAAGTACCACTCACGCTGAGTACATGAGAAGCGAGGTGAGATCACCGACAGTTATCTCCCCGCTCGATACGAGATGACCACCTGCAAGTTCCTCGTCAATATGACCAGGACAGGGGCCACGAGCTGGTGTGACAATGGGTGCTCTAGCGATGTGCCTCCGCAAAACTCACCGTACCCCAACAAGCACAGCATTGCCAAGTTACCAGTGAGCCCACTGGCACCCCAAAAGATACCACTCATGTATGCTTCCTTCTTGGCAAGTCCGAAGACCGTCTCGACTTTCTCGTTGAAGAGGCGTGCCTCGAGAGCCTGCGAATTGTACGCCGCAACGGTTTTGAACGCGTTGAGCTTCTCCTCGGCGGTCTGAACAGATCAGCTCTTGGAGTTCATTGTAGATGATCGACATGCGAGCCGCAACGATGGACAGGGAACGGGTGTGAGGGGTACGGTGCGACTGACCTTGGACATATCCCCGATGGCCTCCTGCGTCAGGTTCGACAGCTTTCGCAGATACCGGCCGTAAAAGACCTGATCGGTTTAATCAGCTGAATCGTGCGGCTTCGTCCAGGAACGTAGAACTATGTTGTCCAAGACTTACAGCGCCGAGAGAGATCGGTGGAACCACACAAAGCATCACCAGCGTCAACTTTGACGAGATCCAGAACATCGCCGCGACTGCATTTGGTGAGTTCCTGCCCTCATCACGATCACACCGCCGCGGTGTAGGACCAGAGAATTCTCGGATCCGCCCTCACCTCCAACACTCGCTGATATCGCTGCCCTGTAGCCAGACTCATCAGCCGTTTGCAGCCGTAACCAGGTAGGAGTGCACGCGACCCACCGTAATCCATCGCTCAGGTTGCTCGTCACGCTATCGCCCAAGATGCTCGTGTCGATACTCAGTCGACTGACGATATCTCCCGCGGACCGATCCGCAAACTCTGGCTCCTGGCGCAGTGTCGATTCGTATGCCTGATTACTGCAGTGTTCATCAGCACGATTTCACCAACAACTCCCACACGGCTCCATGTCCGCAGAAACGGGAATCCGGGGAGAGTGGCCCCGGCTAACAGAGAAAGGCTTCGCCTCACCGTAATCTCGCGATGATGCGCTGACCGCATACCCGCATGATGATGGCGCGCCCGGCGTTGCAGACTGCGCCAACGCAGAATGTGAGCGCGAGCAGACCTGCCGCGACGGGGAAGCTGAGGCCGAGGAACGATTGCTGTGGGTGAGATCAGCATTACTCGCGGCCAATTTGACCAGGCGACAACAATGGCACCCCAAGGTATATCGGGGGAGTTGTGGTCGTCGGCACCATTGTCCGCGAATCAAAAGAAGGCCTGACGTACCGATCCGGTAGAGAAGAAGTCTATCAGCTTGCCGATGGTGAGCGGCACGAGCATGGATACCGAGCTGGATACAAGGAGCTGCGACGGGTCAGCAAAATCTCAGGCATGCGAGACCGGCCACAGCGGGATCGCACGCACCAGGCCCACAGCAACGCCCAGCTGGCGTCCCTCGGGTTTCGCCAGTTCCACGAGCTTGCTAACGCTCGAGAAGCCCGTGTCGGCCGATGCGGGGGCTAGGGCGAAGGTCGAGCTTACGCGGGAGAGCAGAGTGGTTGGAGCTGTAGGCGTCGGGGCGGGGGCGATGGAAGAAGAGGAAGAGGAAGAGGAAGAGGAAGAGGGCGACGAGGACGGTGAGGTGGAAGAGGAGGATGAGGAGGTCGAGGAGGCTGAGGAGTTCCATCGTGCGATGGGACGGAAGGGTCGGTGGGCGACCGAAAGTGGTCTGGGCGATCGGACTGGTGAGGAGGGGAGTGACGAGGAGTGCAGTGCTCTCAGTAGTGGATGACCTGATCAAATACATTCTCGTCAGGAGTCTCTCTTCGCGGCACTATATGAGCGGTAAACACACCTTGCACGCCATGTCGAGCAGCTCCTGCTCCGTCACGAGCCATCCACAAGGCAGACGCTGGACCCCGTCGTATTGCCCCGGAACATCGCCAAGCAGCGCTGAGGCCGAGGCCGACGCCGGCGTGGATGCTCGCCATCTGGGGAGTGTCGTCCCCTGTCCCCTGTCCCTAGACAACGGGTGGAAGAGATGACCAAGCAAGCAAGAATAAACAAGCGATGAGAGAAACGAGATAGATGACAACGCGGTGACGAAATTGTTGGTTGGGAACGGACTGGTACATTGGCGATCGGCCAGTTCAAATGCCGGCGGGACGCGTCGGATTGGTTCATTGCACGGAGCGATCGTTGTCTTTTGTAGACAATGATGGAGATACATTCGCGAGCGAGTACGCGGACAGATGAGGTTCTAGGCGCTACAGCACACCCCCTGGCATATAAATGTAGATATAGATGGAGAGCATGATTGCCCCTCCCCTCGCTCAAAGATACAACGCAAGGGACGATCTTGACGAGGCCCTCATGGTGAAGAGTCCGCTTCACCGCCGGCCGGACCAGGTGCACTGTCCACCTCCGCCGGCGTCGCGGGCCTGTCCAGCTCCCACCGATCCCACTTCCCCCTCATCAGCCACTCCTCCATCAGTTCCCTCCCCGCCCCTTGCCTCTCCTCTATCGTATACGCCCTGCGCAGCTTGCTCTCCAACGACCTCGCTGCCCGACGCAGACTCTCCCTGTTCCCCGCCTCGGTTCGGAGTCTGACCCACTGCGAATCACTCAGCGCAGTGGCGTCCCCGCTCGTATGTCTGATCACGAGGTGGAGTACCTCCTCGGGAAGGCTCAAGAGCGGGAACGGCTGCGGCCGGAGATGGGTCCGGTTTGACGATACCTCCTCGATTACCTGGCGGGCCGTCGTGAGGTCATCGATCACGATGGGTTGGGCGTTGAGCAGAATCCGAGCCGGAGCGAGGCATCGCACGGCTGCGCGGCGGACTCGACGCGTGAGTACCCGGTTCCTCTCCAGTAGGACAGGCAACCGCTCGTGGACCTCGTACGACAACGCTCGTTCCTCTGCCAGCTTCTCCTCGGCACTTCGCCGATCCTCGGGCTCCGGAGATTCCGATTGTTCGTCTTCGTCCGCTCCGTCGACGATGTCGTCTCCGCCTTCGCGATGTGGTCGTGGTGGAAGACTCTCATTCGCGACCAGCCCGAGATGCTTAATGGTGAAATTGCCCCGTTCGACCGCATCGACAATCTCCCGCACGCCCGACAGTCCCAGGTGATTCCCATTCAGCTCCAGCAGCTCGAGACGCCGACTGCGGGTCGAGCGGAGGTAGGCCGCTATGCTCGGTGCGAGACCCGGCCCGATGGCGCATGTGTTGAGGTGCAGCTCGGTGAGGTGTGGGGAGGACAGTGCGGCGAATAGTCTGGTGAGCGAGGAGGGAGAGAGGTTTGGGTTGTTGGTCAGTGATAGAGTGGAGATGCGAGAGGAGTTGAGCGAGTTGATGATGGACTCGAGGTTGCGTTTGAGCTGTCGCAAATCAGTATAAGTCAGAGAAGATCGTTCAGCCAGGACTGGTACCACGATGACACTGTATCGCCTGCGACACACAGACGCAGCGTGAGCCAATCCGACCCGGACCCACCTCAATGTCATTCGCCTGCACCAGCACCTTCCTCAAACACACATCCTTCTTCGCATAGCCCATGAGCGCGTCCATCGCCCCATCATCCAGGGCGTTGCATCCCAGGTTCACCTCGCTCAGCCCCCAGATCCCATACTCCTTCGACGAGTATCGGAGTCGCAGCGTCGCGAGTCCGTTGAGGAGTGACCGCGCGCCCGGGGGGCCGAGGAGGTTGTGCGAGATGTCCAGGCGACGGATCTGCCGTGTGATCTGGAGGAGGATCCGGATGGCTACGAGTGGGGAGGCACGAGTCAGTGATGACTGATATCGTGCGTGGTGCATGGTCTTGGGACGTCGAGTGACATTGCCGACTCACCACCGTCCTCGCCCACGAAGCCGTGATCGGGGAGGTAGGCGAGATCAGAGTTGGAGCGGAGCACAACGGCCATGGCGAGGGCGAGGGTGAGGGCGGGGTCGCAGTCGAGGTCAGAGTCAGGTGAATCGTCGTTTCCAGGCTACTGTGCACACACTCTAGGATACAACGGGCAGACAGAGACCGAACAATGGATAGAGAACAAAGGTGAGATGCAAAGGGGAGAGTAGATTGGACCGGGGATAGCTCGTCACCAGGTGGGGGAAGTCGGCAATTCAAGAGTGGAGGTGGATCTCGACACGTACACAATTGTATTGTACGAGTACTGAATTATCGTCTGGCTCAATTTGACTTCTTGGCCGGTTCACCTGCAAGATCGCGTGAGTCGTCTTCTCGCTGAACAAGACACCGCTGATGTGTAGGCAGGTGCACGAAACGCCGAGTCGTCGAGTCGAGCACCAAGCCCCGCGTCGGCCACGTCAGCCAACTCGAAGCTGAGCGACGTCCGTGGATCACGTTGCGTCCGGCAGTATGCTCGCCCACCTCGTCGTCCTCGGGGCGGTCGCGCTGCCGCTGCTGCTGGTCTTACGGGTGTACATGGTTCTTCCTCCTCAGGCGTCGCCTCGTCGTCGGAAAGGCGAGACGTGCTCGCTTGGCGTTTTCCTCGGATCAGGCGAGTGACCCTCCTCAACCTCGACCCTACCATTCCCACTTCATCCTGCCGCCTGTTCACTTCCAGCACCTCCGGTCCATCAACCTCCCCCTTCCGATCGTCCGATGGGGCTTTCTCCTGTCCCACTATTCCCCGCATGTTTGCATCGAGCTAATCCGCTTCCAGGCGGCCATACCGCCGAGATGCAGACACTGTTGAGAGACATCGACTTCACGCGATACACCCCCCGAACCTACGTCTACTGTCCCGGCGACTCGATGTCACTTCGGGCCATCGCCGATGTCGAAACGACCAAAGCATCTGGATCCTACACCCTCCTCCCCCTCCCCCGTGCCCGACGGGTCGGCCAGTCCCTCCCCTCCACACTCATCTCCACGGCCTGGACCCTCCTCGTAGCCCTGCGAGACCTCTTTGTACGACCCCTCCTGACCCGCCCGAGCAGGCCGTGGGTCGAGGTCCTCCTGGTGAATGGCCCGGGGACTTGTGTGGCGCTCGTAGCGGTGTCGTATATCCGCAGGGTGAGTGGGACGAGCTCGAGGGAGGACGCGAAAGACAACGAGGGGGCGAGGACGAGAGTCTCATCTGGGGCTGGGTGGCTCGGGCTTAAACACATCACATCGCATCACCTCACTCCACCCCCGCCCCAGCCCACACATACCACACCACACCACACCACACCACACCACACCAGACCAACGTCGTCTCTACGTTCAGCACGCGACGTCCCACCGCACCTCACGCCTACGACCTGTCCTCACATCCTCTCCCCGAGTCATCCCCGAGTCCTAGATATCTCGATCCCCCCGCTGACCTCCCTCCCCGTCAGATCCTCGGCCTCTCCTACACCCGTATCATCTACGTCGAGTCTTTCGCCCGGGTCGACTCTCTCTCCCTCTCCGCCAAGATCCTCCGACCGGTGGTCGAGACATTTGTCGTCCAGTGGCCGCATGCCGCGGGTCGGGGTGGTGTTGAAGTGGATCCGAACCCGTCGGCGTCCTCGTCCTCGTTCTCGTCGTCCTCGTCTTTGACGAGATTACCGAAGGTCAAGGCCGGGTCGAACGCTGGGTCCACGGCTAGAAAGACTGATCAGACGAGATCATCTGGGAGGGTGACATATCGCGGGTGGCTCGTGTGACGCGGACCGACAGGATACTAGAGGAGTACGGGCTACATGCATCTTGGTATTATGGTGTTACGGCAGAACGAGTGACACCATGTCATACAACATCTATCTCGGATTTCCCGTCACACCACCCGGAGTATCTCCTCCATGATCAGATCCACCTCCCTCCTCCTCCTCCTCTCCTTGTCCCGCCCCTTACCGTCCCCCGTGGCATTGTCCCCATTCGCCGACTTGCTCGCCGACTTGACCCCCCGCCTGTCCTCCCCAAACAGCCCCGCAGCATTCCCTTTCAACAACCACATGACCTCGCCTCTCTCGTCTCTCCACGAGACGCGGTGTCGTAGCGCCAGGCTCCATATTCCCCTGACGTTCTCGGGCGAGGCATACCACTCCTCAACGACGGTATCGCTCCCACGGACTTTGTTCGCCCCGTTCCCTGACTCACCCCTGTCCCCATTCCCATTCCCATACACACTGTCCGCACTCCACATCAAATCCCGAGCGCTCGGTTCCTCCCCCGCAAGACATCCCCACGTATCCACACCGCCTCGACCACCTCCGAGCCCCAACTTGCCCCCAAAGCCCTCGCCGCCTTCCCCCCGGAGCGCGACGGTCCGGAAGTGGATCGCCGCCTCCCACCCGTCCGGCAAGGAGATCCGCGAGGACAGGAGTCGGTGCGCGCGCACGAAATCAGGAAAACAAGTGGTCGCGCGGGAGGTGAGGGTGGTCTTGAGCCGCGGATGGTGGGAGACCGCCGAGAGGAGGTTGGAGAGGTGGATGGAGAGCGGAGGGTGGATGTGGGTGTACGGCAGAAGGTGGTGCAGGTTCGTGAGGTACTGGAGGGGTGAGTCAGCTGGGTTCGTCGATATGACAGAGGGCAGAGACGAAGAGCCGGAACAGACTCGAAACGGACTCGAGAGGAGCGAAGGGGAAAGGGTGGCGCTTCCGGATCTCCGAGAGAAGCGCAGGAGCGCCGCAGGGACCAGCTGGAGCGTCCGAAGCAACAGCAATAGCCACAGCGTCCGAGGGACCAGCAAGAGAGTTCGAGTGACCAGCAAGAGAGTTCGAGTAACCAGCAAGAGCGTCCGAGGAAACAGCGGGAGCGTCCGAGGGAACAGCAGGAATCAAAGCGCAGGACCGTAGGCAACGCAAACTAGGAAGGCGGAGGGATGATCTGCAGGCAAACCCGATAAGATGCGACTCACCTGCTGCGACACTATATCCCTCCGGGGCAGGGCTGGTGCCGGCTCGATATCGTCCGGGTGGACCACCACGCCACAAGCGAACTGGTCGATCTGGGGAGGTCAGCGAAAGCCTCGTCATCCTCCATCCATTCAGCTGCGGAGCCGCTCATAGATTCCACGGCGAGACGGGGAAGATCAGTCCCAAGTCAGGCCAAGGCGAAGCACTGCAGACCGACCGACCCGGCGGGCAAGAGGGCGAGCAGAACAGATGACAGAATCTTGACCGACGAGAGACCACACTCACAAGCCACGAAGAGCATTTCTCGCTCTCCTCCTCGTCCCGTACCCACACGACCAGGCAATCTGCGAGATCCCACTCTCGGCTCCCACCCGCACCCTCCGCATCCACATCGTCCGCAAGCTCCGCGCCGGCCTCCTCCTCGCCTTGTTCCCGCGTGCGTCCTACACGTTCTTTTGCCTGCGCGCCTTGCTTCCCCCCAGAGCCCGGTGGTGCTTCGCTCGAATCATCCGACCCCGTCGGTCCGCCGGGGTAGACGTCCCCCGCCAACCGTATTTTCCTCGTAACGAGCACCTCGCACATCTTGACCCAAACAGCGCTCTCGCACCGCTCAAGACCGGAGAGAATGAGCACCTCTGGCGCGCGAGTGTGTTTCGGGCTTGATGAAGGACTTGACACGTGAGGTGGGATTCGAGCGTCGGCTTGGAGTGGGGAGTTGGTCAGGCGTCTGAGACGACTCCGACTATGACTCCGAGATCGACTGTGACTGTGACTTCGACTCCGACTTCGATTCCGAGCCGGACTCTCCCCAGAGCGGTGCGCGCTGCCGCTGGCACTGCCGCTAGCACTACCGCGTGGGGTGACTCCCCATCGAGGCGTATACGGCGGTGAACCGCGCCCGCCAGTCCGCTCCGGACTGTCCGCGAGCAGCTCCCGTCGTCCCGCGAACCCTTCCTCTGCCTGCATCCCGCCACCGCCTTGTCCTCCTTCGTCTTCCCCCTCGTCTCCGTGACCAACACCAACTCCATCTCCAATTTGACCCGCCTGAGTCCGAGGATAAGAGAGCGATCGAGTCTCCCGCACCCCCACGGCCGCACCCCCGCTCGCGCTCGCGCCCGCGCCCGGCTTGAGGAACTCGTCCGCCCGCGACGGAGGCGATATGAGGAGTTTGTACGGCACCTGATCTGGTGTCGAGCCGAAACTGAAGTGAGCGGAATGCGTGGTTAGGCCGAAGATGCCTTCGGTGAGCTGGAGAGAGTTAGCGGGAATCACGACTCTGAATGAGCGTCAACCACCACGACCACGACAACGACAACGTCACCATCCTCATCCCCGAGCATGCTCGACCAAGCACCCATCGAAATCGCTGTTGCTTCCACCGCCTGGCATGCTGTGCATCTACACCTCCCATTCCAGAGGCTCGGGATCACGATCTCGACCGCTGAGGACGAGTAGCACGGGCCGTAGACCAGCCACAGCGAGATCGAAGCGGGACCATAGCAGTAGAACACTCTCCGCGATGCGATCGACATGAGGATGGTCTAATGGTCTCGCTCCCATCCGCGAGTCCTTGTCATGAAAGAGCTCCAACCGACCCAAGATCCGTCCACCAACCATCGGCATAACGACCCAGATGGTAAACGGCCGACTCCACCCTAGCCAACCCAGACCGACAGAGCAGGAGCAGGATCAATGACAGGTAGGAAGAAACCACCAAGGATAGATCACAGCAAAGAAGAAACCACCCCGCTTACCCCTTGTACCGCCCCGACAACCTTCCCCACCTCCTCCCGCACCCCCCTTTCGCTCTTCAGCACATCAACCACCACCCCGCCCCTCCTCGATCCGACAATCAGCGCGAGCAGCACCGCGGAGAACAACGAGGTGTCGAAGTCCCATTGTGGGGAGAGGTGGGTGTGGGCGTGGGAAACCAGCTGGGGGACGAAGTTGGGAGAGCCGGGCGCGGGGAGGGGGGCGGGAGATGGGAGGGGGAGCGAACGGGATGGCGAGGGCGACGCAGGAGAGGGTGCTGCTGGCGCGGTCATGTTTTCGAGGACGTCATGAGTGAGGTATGGCCATTGTGTGTTCTTTTAGGGAAGGAGTCGCGTCGTGGTTCGCGATATGGAACGCGATGAGAGTGGGCAAGAGGAAAAGCAAGAGTGAAGAAGAGCGAAACGTGTTGCAGGAGGAAATGAATAGGCCGGTGTGCCCAGGCCAAGCAGTGACTGACCCCCGCCGGCAAGCACTGGCGGTGGCAGTGACCATGGCTGTGGCATGTGGCAACATCGCTTCAACATGGTTCATGCATACTTTGGTTCAGGCCAAGTCCCGTCTGCGAACATGTACTAGAACATAGACTACTTCAGCCCCTCTCTCATGCTTTGTGCTTGCTTGCTTTCTCTTTCTCTTCCACTCGTCCATGCGCGCACCACTCCCTTTCCCATTACCATCCCATTCGCCCGGCGTGGCCAACTCTCGCGTCCGGAACATGCTCAGATGTTCGGCTCGTCCGAGCCAAGGTCGTTAGACTGCTGGCCGTACACCTGTGAGCAGCGCGTCAGTACGCTCCGCGCCGGCACAGATCAACAGGCCCTGCTCTGTGCATCGTCGGAGATCTGGTCGTCGTCCTCCCGAGCAGAGCATTACCCGGGCAGCAGTGTGCGAGAGCGACTCACGTTCATGTTCCTGTTAGACAGTCAGCGCCTGCTCAAGCATAACAATCGTTCAGGGGAGCGCTGCGGCGCGAGAGGAGGCAAGGAGGAAAATGACACCCAGAAGGGACTCGTGGAGGAATAGGTACGTAGGTGGAAGGGGAACGGGCGAGGTTGCGACGTTGCGCCTCCACGAGCGCCTCTGATCGCCAAAGAGGTTCGCGGTACTCACTGATTCCTCATGCGGTTCTCCGCGGCCTCGGCATCAACGTCTAGCCCATCAGCACGGCGCACGACGCACGACGCGCGACGCGGAGTCCCCAATCTCGACCAGATCTCCTCCGACTGTTCCCTCATCCTCACACCCTCCACATACCCATACCACGGACCTCCCTTTTCGAAACGACGGTCCAACTCGATCCACCCCACCCCGACGCTACGCTCACGCCCACTCACCTCCCTCTTGACGATACCCTGGCGTGCTCGTCCCCGTCTTGTACCCGCCATGCCCATCATCGCTCTCGTTATCCCCGTACCCTCCGAAACCCGAGTTGTTCCCCGGCGCGCCAGACTGGTCCGCGGCCATCTGGTTCTGACGCGAGAACGCCCCGCCTTGGGCATTACGGCCATATCCCCCCGAAGCGGTGCCTATGGTTGTCAGCGGTGGCTCAATCCTGGTGGACGGTGATATCCGGCAAGCACGTTGCACGTTGCTTGTTGCAAGAGAGCGGAATCGGGCGGTGCGGATCCTTGTGATGGATCGGGGATCTACCGTGGAGGAAGATGCGAGGAAGGGTGCAGATGTGAGAGACGCGAGGGGCATGGGACAACACAAGGGACACGAGGGACACGAGGGACACGAGGGACACAAGCGGTGCATATACAACGGCCTTCGCGGCCCCCGCCTCTATCCTTCTACCACTTCGTCTGTTTGTGTCCCTCCGTGTCCCCGTGCCCATACCTCAGTCCCAGACTCCCAGCCCATCGGCAAGGCATCCGTTGAGGGATTGCCGCCCATCCCTCCCATCCGAGCAAGCAGCGCACGCCAAGCCGGCATCACTGCGACACCGCCTACTTACTATCGTACTGGTCCATCCCCTCGTAGTTCCCCCCCTGGCCCTGTCCTTGGCCCTGGAGCGAGTTCCCCTGCGCATC